AGAAAAAGAAAAACATACCAGGATGGCGCCTGTGGTTCAGTGGGTAGGGCGCCAGCCCCACATACTGAGTATGGCGGGATCAAACCTGGCCCTGGCCAAAATGCAACAAAAAATAGCTGGGTGTTGTGGCAGGCACCTGTGGTCCCAGCTTCTCGGGAGGCTGAGGCAGAAGAATCGCCAAAGCCTGGGAGTTGGAGGTTGCTGTGAGCTGTGTGATGCCATGGCACTCTACTGAGGGTGATAAAGTGAGAGACTGTCTCTACAAAAAAAAAGAAAAAAGAAAAACACACCAAACCGACAGAAGTGATTGTCTATGGAGAGAAGAAGGGGAATAAGACAACAGGGCAGAGAATTTAGAGGACTCAAGCCTTTCTATACTGATTTATTTCCCCTTTTTTCTCTGTCACACATTGGAATAGTAACATTGGAGGAGTAACAGTCGTCTTGGACCATACGTTAAATATACAAACACTAAAGAAAATCGATTAGCAAAACATAACATATGTGTATACTGTCACATCTAACACCACAAATAAGCAAAAAGTCTTCACAAAATTAGCATGCAGACCCATCCACAGTGCACAGGTTGGATACTCAATTTCTAAATGAAATATGTACTTGTACAAACTGTACGTTTCCACTAAAAAAGAACAGTAGAAGGCCAGACTCAGTGGCTCACTCCTGTAATCCTAGCACTCCGGGAAGCCAAGCTCAAGAGTTTAAGACCAGCCTGAGCAAGACAGAAACTGCTTATCTACTAAAAATAGAAAAATTAGCTAGGCATTGTAGGAGGCATCTGTTAACCCAGCACTCAGGAAACTGAGACAAGAGAACAGCTTAAGCCCAAGAGTTTGAGGTTGTTGTAAGCTGTGATGCCACAGCACTCTACCAAGGGTAACAAACTGAGACTGTCTCAAAAAAAAAAAAAAAAAAAAAAAAAAGTTTTGCAGTTGCTGTGAGCTACGATGATACCATGGTACTAAACCCCACAGCAACAGAGACTCTGTTTAAAAAAAAAATGATAAAACTTTCGTATCATTAAATCCATTCAAAAAAGAAAAAGGAGGCCAGGAGAGATGGCTCACACCGTAATCCTAGCACTCTGGGCGGTCTAGGTGGATGGATTGCTTGAGTTTAGGAGTTCAAGACCAGCCTGAGTAAAAGCAAGACCCTAAAATAGAAAAACTGAGGCAATTAGGGTGGCTACCTACCTATGGCTCAGTAGGTAGGGCGCCAGCCTCATATGCAGAGGGTGGTGGGTTCAAACCCGGCCCCAGCCAAAATGCAACCAAAAAATAGCTGGGCTTTGTGGCAGGCACCTGTAGTCCCAACTACTCGGGAGGCTGAGGCAAGAGAATCGCCTGAGCCCAGGAGCTGGAGGTTGCTGTGAGCTGTGTGACGTCACAGCACTCCAATGAGGGCGATGAAGTGAGACTCTGTCTCTTTTAAAAAAAAAAAAAGAGGCTCGACGCCT